GCACCGTTGCCGGGGAGACGGCTAGATTTCATTAGTTTTAGTTTGATTGTTTGAATTGTTTCCATTATCCCATTGGAACTTTCAGCTCCAATTGGGGCATTCTCATTTTTTTCTTTTGTTTTTGTTTTGTGCCCAGGTCAAAACGAACAGGTGACTTGATCCCTACAGATCCGGACTTGGACAAGACCCATAGGAAAATCAAGAAATAAGGGAAAGGAAAGCAGAAAAAGACCCACTCACAGAAGAGCTCTACAACACAGTTTGACATATAAAAAGAGATGACTGATAATAGGTCTCTTAATTCTTTCGGGGTACCATCCCAAGATGGCATTCTAATAGGTCTTAAAATGCCAGCAATTACTGCAAAGAACTTTGAAATTAAACCTGCATTGCTCAGTATGGTCCAACAAAATCAGTTTAGTGGTCATCCTACTAATGAGCCAATTAATCACTTGCAGCGATTTCAGCAATTATGCTCTACTGTTCATCATAAAGGATCCACTCAAGATCAAATTGAGAGTGATGTTGTTCGGATTTTCCCTTCGCAATAGAGCTCAAAATAAAGTGGTTGAACACTGTCTAGGAGACGGAGTGGAGCAAGATTTCTCAAGCACTCCTCAAAGAGTATTTCCCTCCTGAAAAACTGAAAGGATTCGACATCAAATATCAACATTTTCTCAAGAGTCAGGAGAATCTCTTAGGGAAGCATGGGATAGATTCTTAGATCTTCAATGATCATGCCCGCATCACAATTTTGAGAAGTGGAATCTTGTTTGTATTTTCTATAACGGACTAGAACCCGAGACTACATGTATTGTTGACTCTGTCGTAGGTGGTGTCTTCCTTGACAAGGCGATCGAGGAGGGGTATGATTTTCTTGCAAATCTTGCAGCCAACCATTTCTCTTCTCCAAGAGTGCGAGCAAAGAAAGGGAAGATGGAAGTTGAAGCCTATTCATTCTTGACTTCTCAGATGACTCAATTAACTGCAAAGATTAATGCATTACATGCCACTAAGGACTCCTTTCTTGTATCTGTTAATGCTATGTCTTCTCAACCTCTGCAAACTAACTTTTTTTGTGAATTGTGTGGTATACAGGGTCACTTTGGATATCAATGTGCTTAGAATTCTCAAGATACCAATCAAATGGAGCAGGTGAATGCCTTTCAACAAAGGCAACCAAATGACCCATATTCTAACACATTTAATCTAGGTTGGAGGAATCATCCCTACTTTTCATATAAAAGCAACAATGTTCAAAATCCTCAACCTCAGCAATAGTGGTCACAGCCTCAGAACCCTCAACCTCAGCAATATGTTACAAGGCCTCCACTCAATCAACAAGCACTACTAGAAAACAGGCAAATAGCGACGAAATCGTTCCGACGAACACTAAATTCCGTCGAAAAAATGAATTTTCCGACGGATTTTTCCGTCGTAATTTTTCTGTCGTAATTTTCCGACGGATTTTTCCGTCGTAATTTTCCATTTCCGACGGATTTAAATCCGTCAGAATATATTTAAAAAAAACTATTTTTTTAAAACCCTAAAACGCCCCCTTTTTCTTCACTCTCCCTTCTCTCTCCTATATATTCTCCTTCTCTCAGCTGCTCTTCTCCTTCTCTCTCTTTATTTCTGATCCTTCTCTTCTTCTTGCTCCGTCTATTCTCTTTCTTCATCTCTCTCTTTTCTCTTCTTTCCCCCTTTTCGACAATCACCAACAACACCACCGCAATCACCGACATCAATAACACCAAAATCGGCCAAGGGTTTCGCCCTTTCTCTCTCTCTTCTCATGATGAAAGCAAATTAAAGGTTTTTAGGCCAAATTCGTCCATTAAAAGCCTAGATCTAGACTTTAAAAGGGCCAAATTTGGCCTTGTTAAACCGTTTCCATGGTGAAATTCGAAGCATATTTCAATTTAAGGTATATTATATATTTTAAATTTTCGATTTTGTTTCTGTTATTTTTTTTTAAAAAAAATTTGGATTTCGATGGTGGTGGTGGGTGTGGCTTATGTGCATGTGTGTGGTGGCTGGCGATGGTTATGGTGGCTGTGGGTTTGGGTTTGGGGTGTGGGAGGGGATAGTTTTTAGATCTAGGCTTATCTTAGTTTGGGGAGAGTGGCGGCCTCAGTGGTGGTGTGGTTCGGGTTACGGTGATTGATGGTGGCCGGGTTTAGGGTTAGGGTGAATGGTGGTGTGGTTCTGGTTGCGGTGATTGGTGGTGTGGTTTGGCTGGGATAGTTTAGATCTGGGCTTAGGGTTAGTTTGGGGGTCAGTGGTGGACTGGTGGTGTTAGTGGCGGTGATGGTGTGGTTAGGGTTAGGGAGCCAGAGCTGGATGTGGCTGATGTAGGGGGTAGTGGTGCCGTGGCGGTGGTGGTCTCCTAGGGCTAGGGTGGTGACACGCTGCGCCAGGGGTGGTGGGCTTTTTTTTTTTATTTTGGCTGGACCATTTTTTGACGGAAGACTGTTCCGCCGGAGATTTACGACGGATTTTTCCAGACTGGAAACTTTTTTCCGACGAATGAATTCCGTTCGAAAAGGTCAATTTTCCTACAAGTCGCAGGTACCAATATCCAAAGGCAACCTGGCCACTTACCGGGACAACCTGGCCCTAAGGAGACCGCATATGCTATCACTACTCGTAGTGGTGTTAGCTATGAAGGGGTTCATATGCCTATTGATGATGCAAATCTTGAGAAGGAGACTATTGAGGTTGTAGAGAAGGCCTTGGATGATGTTCCCACCTTGAAGGATAGGAAAGCTAAAACAAGTGATGCTGGGAAAGAGAAAAAGAAAGGTTCCGAGCCTCCATCCATCGAGCCAAAGCTGTCATTCCCACATCGGATGCAAAAGACCAAGATAGATCAACAATTTGGTAAGTTCTTGAATTTTATCAAGAACCTTGAGGTAACTGTTCCTTTTACTGATTTAGTATCTCAAGTTCCGATGTATGCGAAGTTTTTAAGGGAAATGGTTACTAAGAAGAAAGACTTTGGTGGTGTAGAAACAATTGCTCTAACCTTAGAGTGTAGTGCTATATTGTAAAATAAATCCCCATCTAAGCTTAAGGACCCTGATAGTTTTTCCATCCCATGTCATGTAGGTGCATTATTCATTGATAAAGCTTTATGTGACTTAGGTGCTAGTGTGTCTGTTATGCCTCTATTTGTTTGTAACAAGTTGAATATGGGAGATTTAAAATGCACACAAATAACCTTGCAAATGGCGAATCGTTTTATAAAATATCCTTTAGGTGTTCTAGAGGATGTCCCCGTTCGAGTTGGAAAATTTTCCATTCCTGTTGACTTTGTAGTTCTGGATATGGAGGAGGATAGGAATATCTCGATCATTTTCGATAGACCTTTCTTGTGTACTGCAGGTGCTGTAATTGATGTCAAGTCTAGGTCTCTTACTTTGTCTGTTGGTGATGATACAATGACTTTTAATTAACCAATGCGATGAAGTCTCCTATGCTTGAGAATACTTGTTGCAGGATTGATGTGCTGGATGAGATTGTGAGAGATGATACGCCTCGTGAGTTAGCTAATGACCCATTAGAAGTTGTTCTCACCCTGGAGGTGTATGAAGGAGAAGAAGATGTAGATATTGACTCCTTGATTCGTGACTTGGATGTCCCTAATATTGAGGGGTTTGAGGTAACGTAAACTATTTGTTCTACTTCTGAGTCACAAGTAAAAAAGGTGGAGATAAAACCTTTGCCTTGTCATCTTAAATATGCATTTCTTGATGATAATGAGGAATGCCTTGTAATTGTTAGTGCTAAACTCGATGACTGGGCTTCGCATGCATAAAAAGGCAATCGGGTATTGCATTGACGATCTTACAGGAATAAGTCCTAATTTTTGTACGCGTAGAATCAGATCAATATGGAAGAGAATCATTGCCCTTGCATCCACTACTAAAAAACCAGTGAATTGCGACCGCCAGTGCCGGTCGCAAAATATGAGAAAAACGGTCGCAATTCCCAATTGCGACCGTCACCAGTCGCAAAGGCTTAGTCGTTATTTTGTTGGTCGCAAAAACAAAAAATTGCGTCCACTTGGCGTTCGCAAATCATATTGCGACCGTTTTTCTTATTTTCAACGACTGTTTTTGAAGCTGACGTAATTAGTTATTTGCGACAGGCTGAGCGGTCGCAATTTCATAGGCGGTCGCACAATCCTGGGAACTGCGACAGGTCCTGGCGGTCACAATTTCCAGAAAATTACGACCGCCTAAGACGGTCGCAAATTCCTGGGAACTACGACAGGGCATATGGCGGTCGCAATTTTTAGAAAATTATGACAGGCAACAAAACGGTTGCAATTTCTCAGAGAATTGCGACTGTTCGCGACGGTCACAATTTATTAAATCAACGACAGGTATAGACGGTCACAAATATGATATGACAATAATGAAATTTTCATATAATTACAATTTGCATTATCGATGCCATCCTAACCTGAACCTATAACCTGTTATCATATGAATTAATTTTAAAATTAATATAAAATAAAAATAAAATGCATTATTCATATAAATAATAATATTAATAATTAAAAAGTCCAAGTTCGAACAATACATACAATAATAATGTTCAAGTTAAATTAATAATAATAGTAATTAGTTAGTAATAGTTTTATAAACTTAACTTAAAAACTAAGTTAGGCCTATATGAATAAGTAATGGCCTATGTTCATTCAAAAAATAGATAAGGCCAACATGTGACAATATAATACCAATTTAAGGCCTATATTCCCCAAAAAAATAACGAAATGGCCTATATCCCCCCCAAAAAATTTAAGGCCTATATTCCCCCAAAAAAAAAAACCTAAAGGCCTATATTCCCCCCAAAAAATACTAAGGCCTATATCAACAATACTAATCTAAGAGCTTTATGAACAAAAACTACGACACCGGAGTCTGGTGACCAAGCCCACCACCACTCATGTTCGGGTCAACTTCCTTACGAAGCTTAAATGGAGGACCACCTTAACAGTTAGAGAACAAGTTCTGCAACATTGTCTCCATCTTTTTCAAGCTTGCGAGTGCTTCTGGTCCATATGTTGCCTTAGCAAAGTGTTGAACTTGTTGCAACAGCCCGTCACCGGATATTATGTGAGGTGGTGTCCCCTTTTCAACCTTATTCTTACAAAAAGCAATTTTGTTGTTTCGAAAAGGATGTTCGGGAGGAAGAAATTGGCGGTGACAATCAAACCAAGACATTTTACCACCATGTTCAAGCCAAAAAGCTTTTGATTTGTCCAAGCAATATGGAAATGCTTTTTTACCAGCTGTTGCCCAACTAGAAAACATACCATAGGATGGGAAATCACTTATAGTCCACAAGATTGTTGCACGCAAATTAAAGATATTTCTTTGCGAGATGTCTTAAGTTGTTGCATCAACATCCCACAGTTGTTTCAATTCTTCAATTAACGGTTGCATATATACATCCAAGTTCCCCTTTGGATTTTTAGGACCAGGAACGAGCAAAGAAAGGAACATAAATGGTTTTTTCATGCACATCGATGGAGGAAAGTTATAAGGGGTCAGAATAACTGGCCAACATGAATACTGACCCCCAAACTTGCCATTAGGAGCAAACCCATCAGTACACATACCAAGTCTCACATTTCTAGGTTCGGATGTGAAATCGGGGAAGGATCTATCCAAGTGCTTCCAAGCTTCACTATCACTAGGATGCGCCATTGTGCCTTGGACTCTTGGATTTTTGGAATGCCAGATCATTTCCTCCACAAAGTTTTTTGTTGCAAACAACTGTTGTAGCCTTGGAGTGATTGGAAAATAGATGAGTTCTTTTATTGGAACCAATGACCTCTTTGAAGTCCTCTTGTATCTATCCCTTTTGCACACTCTACACTTATCTAACTCAGCATCAACTTTCCAAAATAACATACAACCCTTTGGGCCTGCATGGATCTTCTTGTGCGGAAGCTCAAGTCCATTAAGAATCTTCTTTGTATCATAGAATGTTTTCCCCATCTTGTTATTGTCGGGAATCGCTTTGTTCAGTAATGAAGAAAACCCATCAACGCACCTATGGGGCAAATTGTATTCCGACTTCAAAGATACAATTCGTGATGCCATTTCTAGCACAGACATGGAGCTACCTTCGTACAGTGGTTGCTCGGCAGCCTTTAAAAGCTCTTGAAATGCTTTTGCTTGAGCATTTGGCTCTTCATCTGAACCACTAGTAGTATCGTCACCTGGTGGTTCATGGTTACTCCAAAGAGCATCGAGAACCATTTCATGGTAAGTATTTGGTTGCTCTACACTTAATGTAGGGAACCCTTCACCATGAGAAACCCACTCATAGTAATCAGGTATAAACCCCTTTTTGTACAAATGGAGTTTTACTATGTTGGCATCATGAAGACATCTATTCTTACATAACAGACAAGGGCATCTTACTTCATCTATGCCCGGGCTCTCAGGATGAGCTTCACAAAACCGTATGAATTGTTCAACACCTTCCACAAACTCTTGCCTAATTCTACGGGCATTACCGCCATCGTATCTATCGTACATCCACCAACGCTCTTTCCTTTTCATGGTGACAAATTCTACAACACTATAAAAAACAAATCACATTAATCATTCACACCGAACTTGTATTCATTACAATAATGGCATACGATACAATTAGAATCGAAATGATATCCAAAGGTCCTTATCATGACTTGAAGAGGAAAGTTGATTTCACATTCTTTATTAAGAGATTTAAACATATGTTATGTCACATGATTCTAACTTGATAAATATTTATAATTTTTACAACATGTTTTCTAAAATACTTATTATATATAATTTACAATATTGATTAAATTATTTATAACTTACACTAATAAATTATATTTATCCAATTTCAAAGTAAATTGATGTAACATTAATAAAATCAAAGAAGCAATATGATTTGTATAGTTAACAAAGATGGGAGTTTGATAACAAAAATCAAAATATAAAAATATTAAAAAAAAAAAACCACATGTAACCCTTCATGAAAAAACAAAATAATTTACAAAATACATTATAGAACCATAAGACAAATTAATGATCAAAAGATTATCATAACCCCTTAAACATACATATTTCTAATAAAGCCATTGTAATTCAATAAGAATCATTTTTTTAAAAACGAAAACTAAATATATCCAACACATGAGTTCATATCATCCAATAGTCCTACATTGGACATGAAGCAAAATACATTTATATTCCAATCAAAACACATCCAAGTTCAAGCCTACACACAATAAAGCGTAAAAAAATCCAACAATGGAACAAGCTATCAATAGCAAACCTCTTGCTAATACTAAACTGACCATTTAAGAATCACTAGGAAAACCCTCTTAAACAAGTAGCACATTCACAAAGTAAATCAATGATAATAAACTGAAATGAAAATGCATCTAATAAGGATGTTTTTTTTTAAATATAGACCACAACTCCATAAACAACTAACATAAATATGAATCATATTGCACAAGTAAAAGAAGTAGTTAAATAAGAAGGGAAGAAAACACACACTGGAGGAGTTGACCGGAAAAGCAGAGGCAGCGACGAAGGTAGTCCTGGTATATGGTGGTGTTACACTTTTAGGCAGGGTATTTATAAAAGGCAAATTTGTAAAAAAAAAACCTTTTAAATGCACCATTTTGCAAAAAAAAAAAAAACCTTATAAAAGCTTTTTGGCAAAAGAAAACCAGAAGTTAATCTTTTTTGTTAAAGACAACCTATGCCTCTAATTCACGTAATTAAGCTCTAATTTTTTCCTAATTACTCTCTAACTCTCACTTAGCCCTTTATTAACTAAATTAATCTATAAACAAATATAATAATAAAAACCACCATCCCTACAACCAACCAACCACCATCACTACCACCAGCCAGCCTTTCCTCCTCCTCTGGCAGAGTGGCACCAGCCCCCCTCCCCCAATCGAGTCACCGCCCTGAACGGTTAAACCACCGGTGGGCCCACTCCCTTTCCCCCTTACCCCCGCTGCAATCCTCCCCCTTCCTTAAACCCTAACCCCGACAATTCCACTAATGATTTCTTCTCTAACTGAGACATCAATGATAGCATCAACATCGAGTGGCGGAAGATCCTTAGCGACGCGGCGACGACGGAGAGAAAGAAGGAGACAAAGAGTAAGTCAAGGAGAGACAAGGAAAAGGGAGAAGAAGCGTAAGGCGGCTGCTCGGTGTTAGGGTTTAGGGAAGGGGAGGGTTGCAGCGACAAGCGGGGAAACGAGAAAGGTAGGAGTGTTGCCGGAGGGGGGTCGCCGGGATTAAGGGGTTGAGGGGAGGGGGCTGCAGCCATGGGAGGGGGAAAAGGAGGGAGTGGTTGGCTGGTATGGTGGTGGGGGTGGTGGTTTTTGGGTATTTATTTATTTATTTATAAATTAATTTAATTAATAAATGGTTAAGTGAGAGTTAGAGGATAATTAAAAGAAATTAGAACTTAATTAAGTGAATTAGAGGCATTAGGCTGTCTTCAACAAAAAAATTTCACCATCGGGTTTCCTTTTGCAAAAATGTTATAAATCGGGTTTTCTTTTGCCAAAAAACTTTTAAAAGATTATTTTTTCGCAAAATGTTGCATTTAAAAGGTTTGTTTTTGACAAATTTGCCTTTATAAAAAAAACTTTAAAATAAAAAAAAATAACTACACACGACTTACCTGGTGGCGGCGACGGAAAAAAAGAGAAAAAAGGAGGAGGGATGGGCACAAGAGGAATCCGGCGACGGTGGAGCTACAAAGGGGGTTAAACTGCGACCCACAATTAGCTATTTCAGACAAAATAACGAAACAGAGAAAAAAACTAGAAAAACTCGAAGATATGAAAGACCAAATACTCAACCAGCCATAAAAGTTCAAGTTCTAGCAAGATTTATAAAGCTCAATCTAAAATTAAAGATGGTCATTTCTTTGGTTGGTTACTAAGACACGAAACACTATTAAATGCTTATTTAATTGATTCAAGACAGAAAAATTTCATTACATCCAAAATTAATCTAAAAAAAGTTGTAAACTTCACTGAGATTAACATATAGATGATGCCCCAAGGTCCCATGCTTCTATAATAGATGTCCAGTTAATAGTGTTCCTCTCTGCAATCTACTCTCACTTAGATTTCTAGTACTACTAATCCCAAGTATATAACACCCCAATAGTATAACAATTATCAAAAAGAAAGATGAAAATTTCAGTTTAGTAGAATGGGTGATATAAATCATATTTTACACTAGGTCTTAAATTCACTTGAGAAAACTCTAAAAAGAATTGTTTTAACAAGAAAAGCATATGTAAACTAAGGAAGGTACAAGGAAGTATTTGCAATCGACGAGCAAAGACAACCTGTTAGCTGTCTTTGAGCTTTTATTTCAGGGTTTAGTGGTTGACAATGGTAAAAATATGGGGAGTGAAGTTGAGCTTCAGGAAAAAGAATGGTTTGACGAGGGTCGCATATTAAATTGATACCAATATACACACAAAACCATAACATCAAGGGGAAAGAACAAAATTTAAATGACGATATTGTTGAATCACATTCATCTATACTTATTGGTAAGGGTAAAGTGAAATTACTAGCTCTTAACAGTCAACTTATGGGCTGTTATCTTCACCTAAAGAAGATAATCTACTAATAATAAGCTTATACAAGTAAAAATCAGTTTCTTTATAAAAAATAGTTTAATTAGTCAAAATCACTATTAATAAATAAAAATCAACTTCTTAAATCAAACCAAGTTTCAGTTAGTAATAAAACGTTTAATCAGCATAAATAATCTCACTTTGGTAAAAATCAAGTGTAGAGAACAAAAAAAATAGACATGAAACTTTTTTAAAGGTGAAAAGGGTTATGACCTTAATGTCCTAACCAATGGTCACCTAAAGGCATCCTTATTTCTGTTTGTCACAGACAGAATCCTCAAAAGTTAATCGTTAACGGCAACTCTGTTATTACTACTGTTGCAGCTTGGAAAGATAACAAGTCCAGCCATTGTGGCCGTCTATAGAATAAGAAACCTAAAGGCATCCTTAATGTCCTAACCAATGGTCACCCAACGCTTATACCATCATACATTGAGAGATAATACTCACAAATTTGCTAAAAACAATTAGCTACAATAGGGTCTAAACATGAATTCTTTTAATATCAAGCACCAAAACAAAAATGAACATAGATAACTCTCTCTTTACTAATTAAACTATTATCAAACAGAGCAAAGTGAATTCAAGAAATTCACATATTCAATTCCAGAAATTCACATTTCCAACCTAATTTTGAAAAAAAAAAATTACAGCGACTAACCTGACTTAACTCGACGGAAAACGGAGGAGGGACTGAGATAAGAGGAACACGGCAAAGCGACGACGGTAGAACGAGTGGAGAATGCTCGTCGCCGGAGAATCTCTTCGTTGTTTCCCTCCCTCTTTCCATCTTTTCCCTTCTTTGTTTCTTCTTTCCCCTTCCCCTTTCAAATGAAATATGACCAAACCAATTAAATTTTAATTTTTTTTAAAAAAATTATGACCGGTTCTACGACAGTCAAACTGATCGTAATTATTTTTTAAAAAAAATAAATTAAATCACACATTTTCAACGACCGTCACAAAGCTCGCAAAAAAATAAAAAACGGTCGCAAATAAATAATTTTACGGCAGTCTTCTAAATGATCGTAATTAATATGAATTATTGCGACCGTTTTTATAACAGTCGCAATAAATCGGTCGTAAAATCACCGAATTTTAGTATTGATCCAATCACAACGTCGATTGAATCCTAATATGCAAGAGGTGGTGAAAAAAGAGGTAATGAAACTTCTTGACGCGGGCATCATCTACCCTATCTCATATTCTAAGTTGGTGAGCCCGGTACAAGTCGTTCCTATGAAAAGGGGGACAACAGTTGTTAAAAATGATAAGAATGAACTAATTCCTACTCGTGTTGTCACATTATGGCGTATGTGTATCAATTATCGCAGGTTGAATACAACCACCTTAAAAGATCATTTCCCCTTACCTTTGATAGATCAAATGCTTGAAAGATTAGCAAAACATAGTTTTTTCTGTTATTTAGATGGATATGCAGGATTCTTTCAGATTCCCATCCATCCGGAAGATCAAGAGAAGACGATGTTCACATGCCCCTATGGTACATTTGCTTATCGCAGAATGCCATTTGGGTTGTGTAACGCCCCTACGACATTTGAAATGTGTATGATGGCCATTTTCTCTGATTTCATTAAGAATATCATGAAGGTATTTATGGATGATTTCAGTGTTTATGGTTCTGACTTTGATATATGCTTGCATAATCTTTCTAAGGTGCTTAAACGTTGTACTGACGTTAATTTGGTCTTGAATTGGGAAAATTGCCACTTCATGGTCAATGAAGGGTACTTGGTCATCTTATTTCCGATCGTGGCATCCAAGTTGACAAAGAAAAAATTGAGGTGATTGAGAAACTTCCCCCTCCCGTGAATGTCAAGGGAGTGAGAAGTTTTCTTGGTCATGCGGGGTTTTATCGCCGATTTATAAAAGATTTTTCAAAAAATAGCAAAACCCCTCACTCAAATGTTGCTTAAGGATTCCACATTTGAGTTTACTGATGCTAGTATGGAGTCTTTCAACAGGATTAAAGAAGCATTGATAAGTGCTCCAATCATACAACCTCCGGATTGGGATTTACCAATCGAGATCATGTGTGATGCGAGTGACTATGCTTTGGGAGATGTGCTTGGACAACGAAAGAACAAGGTTTTTCATGCCATCTACTATGCTAGTAAAACCTTGGATGAGGCTTAGATGAATTATTCCACCACTGAGAAAGAGCTCCTAGCTATTGTGTATGGTCTTGACAAGTTTCGAACTTACCTCATTGGTTTGAAAGTAATTTTTCACACTGACCATGCCGCTCTAAGGTATCTCGCTCCTAGAAAAGAAAAAGGTTAAACCGAGGCTCATTCGATGGATTTTGTTCCTTAAAGTGTTCGATTTAGAGATTCGAGATGAAAGGGGTGCCGAGAACATTGTTGCAGATCACCTCTCTCGATTGAGATTTCAGTCTACTTCAAGTAGCCCTATAAATGACTCTTTCCCTGATGATCATTTATTATTTGTTTGTTCTATATCTCCATGTTATGCTGACTATGCTAATTTTTGTGTAGGTGGTTCACATCCTCTGGATTTGACTTACCAACAACGCAAGAAGTTCTACCATGACGCTAAGAGGTACTTTTGGAATGACCCTCATTTGTATCATAAGTGTGCTGATGGAATGTTTCGGAGATGTGTAGCAGATTGGGATACTCATGGTGTCCTTCATCATTGCAATAATCTACCTTCTAGCGGACATCTTGGTTCCACTGCAACTGCCTACTGAGTGCTTCAATGTGTTTTCTATTGGCCCTCATTATTCAAGGATTCTCATGCCTTTTTCAATGCATGTGATGAGTGTCAAAGAACAGGAAATATATCGAAGAGGCAAGAGATGCCGTAAAATGAGATTCTTAAGGTCGCGCCCTTTGATTTCTGGGGCATTGATTTTATGGGACCATTTCCCTCTTATTGTGGGAATCGGTACATTTTGGTTGTTGTCGACTATGTCACCAAGTGGGTCGAAGCTATTGCGTCGCCTACTAATGATTCGAAGGTTGTTATGAAGCTATATGTTTAAAAAAAATATCTTTTCGCGCTTCGGAGTCCCAAGAGTTGTTATTAGTGATGGTGGTTCTCATTTCCACCAACTAACTTTTAAAGCTCTTCTCAAGAAACCTTGAGTTATTCACAAGGTTGGCTTGGCCTATCATCCTCAAACGAGCGGCCAATTTGAGGTTTCTAACCGATAAATGAAGAGAATCCTTGAAAAGGTAGTCTATAAATCTCGCAAATTTTGGTCATTGAAGTTGGATGATACATTGTGGGCATTGCAAGCGGTTTACAAGACTCCGTTAGGGACAACTCCGTATCGATTGGTGTATGGCAAAGCTTGTCATTTACCGGTTGAAATGGAATACCTTTCACAATGGGTCGTCAAGGAGATTAATTTAGATCTAAAGAAGGCCGGTGAAGCGAGACTTCTTCAATTGAACGAGTTAGATGAGATTTGGCTGGATGCTTACGAGAATCATAGGCTCTACAAGGAGCAAACGAAGAAGTTTCATGATAAGATGATCCAAAAACAAGAGTTCAAGATTGGTGACAAGGTGTTGCTTTATAACTTAAGACTTCGGCTCTTTCCTAGAAACCTTAAGTCTAGATGGTCCTTCACAGTCACCGATGTCAAAGCATATGGAGCCATAGAGGTTGCTAGCGAAAACGGCACAAAATTCAAGGTAAATGGACAACGTTTAAAGCTATATACCGAGGGTGATTTCATCAGCAAATTGGAGATGATTTATCTCTCCGATACACCAATTGATGCTTGATACTAAGGTAAGAAGTCGAGCTTACGACTTTAAATGGGCGCTTATCGGGAGGCAACCCGATTTCTTAATTTTCTTGTATTTTCTTTTATTTATTTTTAGTTTTCTTATAGTTTTACTTTACTTTTGCTTTTCTTCACTAACATTATTAAAAAAAATGGTGAAGGTTAAAAAAGAGTAGAAAAAAAATCGCAGCCCACCCCGCGCCCTCCCAACCCCCTTCGCAGCCCTGCCAGCCTACAGCCGCGGGTTTTGGCGAAGCAACCCAACAAAAAAAATTAGAAAACAAATTAAAAAAAAAAGGAAAAAGAAAGAGAGAGAAATGGAGAACGACAATTTCACTTTCCCCCTCCCCCCTCTCTCTCCTTTCCCCTCGCCACCTCCACCACAACCGCTGCCCCATCGTAGCCCCCAACCCACCGGCGACCACCGCCCCTTCTCTCTCCTATCACCATCTCTCACCATTATCCTTCTCTTCCTTTAAATTTTCAAAAACCCTAAATTTTTAAATTGAATTGGGATTTCAAAATTGAAGGTGTGTGACATCAAATTGGAAATTTTGGAGGTATCATTGGACTATTATAAGAGGTTTGACATATTTCTGATGCACCATTCTCATTGTAGTGGTATAAATTCCAAATTTTTCATCTCTTACTATTCTACAATTGTGCTTATTCTTGAGTTTTAACCTTTTTACCATCTATTTTCACAAGTTGGTGTGGTAGTGTTGGTTTTGTGTACATTCTTTGTGTGGATTGATTGTGAATTATTTTGGGTGACACATATTTGGCTTTGGAATATTCTTGTTCATTGGTTTGTGATTCCTTGTTGATTAAACTTCTCATCACTCTCACCATGAGGACAAGAACACAAACCACTTCGACACCCAAGCCACTCTATGACCCTAACACATACTCTTGAAAAATCACAAGAAAAAACCACCCACCAAACCCACAAACGACCTACATGATCAAAGCCAACATCCACACCTAAAACACCATCTAGAGTCCAACCTCCACCTCCATCACCACTAACTCCACTTTCTTGGTTAACCGAGAGTCCCAAAAACAATGTGCAAAGAAGCTTAAAGATCGAACCATAGGACACACTCTTTACTTTTCTCTCTCAGGCGCTAAAAGGCTTGGGTTTGAATGGTTTTTTGATAGAATTGCAAGAGCACATGGGTGGAGTGAGGTCCTTTGTATTGATAATGATATTTGTCCATCACTTTGTAAGGGAGATGTGGTATTTTCTTTGGCTGGAAATGAATAGATAATGTCATGGGATGATGTGAATACGACTTTTGGATGGCCGAATAAAGGTGTCATGGGTCCAAAAGAGATTATGAAATTCAAGGGAAATCCAAGCTACTCTCTCTTTGACTCGAGCACATTTTAGAAACAAATAACAGGTCGAATAGATTGGGAGTCCGGTGTTAGCAAATCTAGTTCTATTGGTTGTCCAGCTCTTCGCATGCTACATTTATTTATCCTTCAATTATTTTGACCCAAGAGTGAGGTCGGCCAGGTAACTACATTGGACTTAAAACTTCTATGGTGGTTCACTAGATCTCATGGAAATGCGAGCCTCAATCTCACCAAATTCCTCATTAAAGCATTTTTATGGGAGCGGGATATGAAGAAAGGTGATATATCCATGGGTGGATTCGTTTTAGTGTTGTGTGCGGCATTAGATGTTGATTTGAAAACTAAAGAGACAGTTGAATCCACCAACTACATCAATCAGGCTGCAATGGATAGATTTAGTTGGCTTTTTCATCAATCCAAGGGTCAGTATGTTTGGTTTGTTAAGGGTTACCGAAGTTCCGATGCAAAGTTGGTGTACGAAATTTTCCCGAATGATACACCCCATGATGCAAGCAGTCTAAGTTGGAAACAACGTGAGATCACCGAGCGAATAGAGGATTCTGTTCTCAAACGACTCACCACCATTGAAGGATAGGTACAAGATCTATATGCTGAGATTCATGATTTGCGTTGCCATGTTGGAGCTC